AGTTTACACTAGCTAATTATAGGAACATTATATAATCCATTCTCCCGCATACCAGCCCTGCTGATGATGTCATACCAACAATGACAACAGGAGATGCTCCGAACGTCGTGAATATGCAGCCTCCGCCGCGGGTGCTCCTCGCGGATGAAAGTTTGTGCTGCGGAATATGTGATGATATCTTTAACTGATTCCCGCAGCCATGCGTGTCCAACTCATCCTCCTGATTAAGCCCGCTCGCTCGGCGCGCGCTCGGGCGGGAGTTCGTCACACATCGCCGAGTGTTATTCACAAACACGAGCGAGTCAAGCGGCATGCAGTACCGGGTAGTCCATGATAAACACTTAAACACATTTGTTTCTGCTGATAACGTTCAGTTTTTAGTGCTGAGAGGAACATCGGGACACGAGTATTAATCATGGCAAAATGCCAACCGAAGCCTGCTATGAAGAACGTAACTCACAAAGCAACTTTATTTCACGCTCAGCAAATCGTTTTATTGGTGAAGACCAGCGTTCCTCCGCCATTCCCTACTACAGCTCACCGCACGAGCTGGATACATCAGCTCAGTTGTTGTGGTGAGTCAGACGAGCCTCACTTTTAGCCCAGTCTCGGCAAAATGACGGATTCTTCTAGTTTACATATGAAGGAGTTTGAAGATGTTAGCTCCATGTCCACGCGGCTTCTAAAGACTCCAGTCTGATCGTTTTCTTGGCACCAGTCCTACGCTCCTCCACTTCTTCTGACTCATCGCAGAGGTTATTCCGAGTTGTTGTGCGGAGCCTTGGCTCACGATCAGCACACGGCACACGTTAGGAACGACCTCATCAACCTTCACAACTGAAGGGCTTCCATTAGGAAAATTGGCTTCTCCTGATTAGCGGGGAAACTCTGCGGGTCACCTTAATTAGAACACCCTGGCGTGGAAATTGGGCGGTGATGGTAACGCAAATCAGACGTGGGATGTAAAACAAAAACGTTTTTCAATCCATCCTTTCTTACACAGTGTAGAACTTTGGCAAATTTTACGACCCGGTACGTAATGCAATGTCTGTTCCAGCATAATCCCTAAGCAGATGTTTTGAGGTAGACTTATTTGCTTTTACAAAAACGGGCAGCCACAAAAACCTCCAATTTTTTCGCCAAACATCTTCTAGGAGATTATTACAGCGGTCCCACAGGGTTCCAGTGTCGGAACCGTCCCAATGTTGGAACCGTCCCCATGTCGGAACCGCTCCGGTCCGGTGTAGCGGGACAAGGAGCGTTATTACATCTAACCCACGTCACCCTGTGGGCACTGACTGTTATTGCAAGTTCAGTAAATCCTGTCCTGTGAGTTGTGCCTGAGGCTGCGACAGACAACATTGGACGCCCATCGATCTGTTATCCTGCTCTTTGTCGCCTCTATATCTCTGCGTAGATATTAAAATCTAACTTTACACTGAGGGGGAGGAGATGCTGGCATCCAAGGACAGTTCGATGCCATGCGAGGATTCTTTATTTCCCTGGATACCTTCCACTGAGGCGAATGTTCAAGCAGATCCCGGGACTGAACAGAACATTCGCCGAATGTTAAACTTGTAGCTGTGGTATTTTTACCGATCGACCAAATTTTACAGATCGACTTGTCATGGTGCATTGTCAAAAAGGACCACTAACCCTACCTCTAGTACCCTACCTCCCCGTGCTTGCAGACGGCAAACCAATTGCTCTTGCCCGTCACACCAAGCTTTTCGACCTTTAGGAGATGGAAAGTTGCTAGATTCTAGTCGCCTGAAGAATTCCATTTTCATATTTCGTCTCCCAATTTTGCTTTTGCACAATATATCACCTGTCGCACGAACAAAGAGGCCGACGCGAAGGCGCAGAACCCGGTACGCGCTTTCATGAAGATCTCAAAGCCGAGGATATCGGGTTTATCATCGTCCTCCAGCGCCCGGATTACTGAAAAGATACGCGTACGCTGTACCTGAAAGAGCGGGTTGCCTTTTGTTGGCGACGGTTTACTGTTAAGACCTAAGAGGGTGTTGGATGAAAATCGCTTACTGTGTCACTCCACAACAAAGGATGTAATTAAAGCATTGAATGCGGGTACAGATCAAGTGTAACATCGTCAGGCGCCGGCGTCAGGCAGGCCCATAATTCACGCGTATCGTAATGGCCGGCGTGAACGGGCGCATGTATTATACCAGCTGCGAGGCGCCTCGGGGGTCAGAACGGGCCCGCGCGGACCGGTTAGACGAATGGAAACGTCGATACGTCATCGTTTCCGGGAATCTGTGGGTCGGGGAGATGGATGGTTTGCGGCTGCGCGAGAATTAACGGGAACTGATCCTTGTCGCTGTTCGGGTTGATGGTTTGTCTGACAGATGGGAAAGGGTACCGGGATTAGGACTATTCTCCAGGAGAATACCATCTACGATAATGTCCGGGAATTTAGATACCATTCCAGGAGAGCGTATGTACTGACAAATGTCCGGGAAGTTGGAAAGTGTACTAAGAGAATTTGTAACGCTTTTCACCATGTGTTTTCTTGTGGTAATACCTTGAAAAGGTGATTTATTTTATCACTCCTCCGTATATGTAACAACCAATTTGGATTAACAAAAAAAATCTTGTCAACCGAGTAACGTAACATCCGAAGTCATCTTTGTTGCTATGAAAAGAAGCGATTCGTGTTAAGCCAGCGGAGTGCTGTATTCCATCACCAATCACAGTCGCTAATCAGAACTTATTCTGGTACATTTTCCCACAGTGATGTAACATCTCCCACTAGACTTCGTGTTGGTACACAAAACATTCCGTATTCCCCAGAAATGCCGGGAACGTGCAGGCAACCTTGGGCTTCGTGTCGTGCTGAAAGCTACACGGTGTTCTGGCAGTTTGCCTAGTGCGATGTTCAGGCGCTGCCCGCGTGTGGAAGGATACAGGCTGCCGCTCGTCTACACCAAGTTTTATCACGAAAAGCCACGGTTTGGTGAACAGGATAACATGGGGAGGGTACTAATGTAGAGACCCTTATGCAGAGGTGGTCACTAATACAGGTTTAACTGTACATTGAAACGCCTGCCGCAAAGGTTGCTTGAAAGGCTAAAAGGAGCAACTACATTGTACATCCTATATCACTTACAATTGCGCCCTGTTACTGACTACCCAAATCCAGACGTTTGACACTGATTGGCAGTGAGAACCTTCCCGCCCCTGTGAGCGGTATAACAACATCACGGCCCGCACCAACCTGTCACGAACCAGACATAGAGATGCGGGCCTATACAACAACCATTCCGTCATGGCGCCATCAGCCAATACCGTCTCTAATAAGGTCGTACGATATTCCAAACGAAACTGCAGCTGCCAGCAAAAAAGTTTCAGCAAAGCAGTCCGAAAAGGTTGACGATGTTTTACTGAAAAAGAATTCGTTCCAGCTCCCAATTACTTATCGCCGTCTATTGACAAGTTGGCGAGCAAATGCTGACCGACCATTAAAGGTAAATCTGTCGGCCAGCGGAAACTCGATACGCAATAAGGTTCTCCTGTGTCCGCGGCCATCGGAGCCAAGTTCCCCGTGTCTCCTGGCCAAAGCCTTACACAATCGTCCATCAACAAAGCCTTTATTGAACGGCGCGGTGCGAGAGTCAATGTTAACGAGGTCTAAATGAGATTTTTGTCGGTCGGCTTCGTGCAAGCGCTCCCCCCGGAGACGCAGCGCTGTTGATCTCGGTGCAAACGACCACGTTACTGATCGATCCCGGCTATAGAAACCCGCTCGAACGGGAAACTGTGTGATGAGGTACCGCGTGCCGCTGGGACTACAAACGCCCCTGATTTCAGATAACTGACCTCCGCCATCAACACTGCCGTACATCGCGCCGGGCCCGCCCAGTGTAGGGATGTCACCGCCGTCAGGACGAGTTGGGCGCTGCACGGCTATAAATGTTTCTATCAAACACTGTTCAATTGGCACCTTGTACTGCAAACAACCTGGCAACTAACCCCATCTGGTCTTTCTGAGGAACATATCTCAACATTTGGTAAAACTCACATCCTCGGCAAAGGCACAGGTCACATCTGCATGTCCAATGGGATCGATTTTTTCTTCATTAAAGACGAGGCCGCGTTTCTCGCCTAATAATGTCTTCAATCTACAAAGGCGTCTATGAAGCGTCGTGTTTGTAAATTTGGGTTGAGCGCTGAACCACTTTCCCTGCTCCTTGATCATTTCGCTCTGCTCTCTTCGGGAACAGATCTTTAATCGGGTACAGAAATCTCAACATGTAAATCCAACCTAACTATAGTATGCAAAAATACGTCCCATCACTGATGACGTGAACGTGTGTAAGGAAAATAGAACGTCTTAGATGTTACTTCTCCCGGTCCATATCAAGTGCAGGAGGCCCATTCTTAAGTTGGCACGAACATTTAGCCAGGTAACAAGTAGTGTATGAAGACGTCTTCAGGGCCTGGTTGTTTACCGGTGACGAACGTCCCCGGAATAAAACCCCTCCGTCACGTCAGTTTTCCCGCGAAGCGAAGATCACTCATCACTTAACATGGGAGTGATGACATGTGATATCCCATCTATCGATCCGTTCTGTACGGTTAAACGTGATGACTCCGGTTTCGGCAGTTCCGGGCATAATTCTGACACACACTGTTAACGTGCGTAACGTTCACCACCTGCAGACTTGTATGATGGAATTTTTACTGCTGAACGGTTCAGAACGTGAAGTGCCTAACATTTCCAGTATAACTGCTAAGGAAATTGGGTTTCCAAGTGCGAATATATAATATTGTCTGTAGGTTGCAAATAGTGGGTACTGCTAAATTATAACGTCCAACCGTTTCTTGAAATAACAAAAATGCATCAATTTTATCGTCAAACAATGATGCGGTAATTATACAATTGCTACTGTCTGGTATTTCTACATTTATGTCTCTAAACATGCTTGCATTAATATTTTAGGTCAATATTAATGCTTCTTCTATTTCTGCCTCTCTGAAAGGTCACATGTCAAGTCTTGGAAGACAGGGACGTCGAATGTGGAGAAATCGACTTGGAATCGGACGCAAAATTAGCAAAACAAGAAGGTAAGTCCAGCGCTCTCTCCATCTTACTTTCATTGTTCATACTTAAAACCAAAAAAAATCAAATCTATTCTATGTTGCAAAAACGTATAGTCGTAAAGTTTTGTTGTGTATTTGTCATATCTACCTGCGTTGATCACGTTAACCATGCCAGACATGGCATCTCTGACACGAGCTGCTGACAGTCCAGCCCCAGTGGGTTATCTTTACTCCGCACATTGCACGGGTGCTCCACCTGACCGCTGCATGGGCGGCTTGGCGTGACGGTGTGAGCGTCAGGGTCAGGTCTGGTACGCCGGTTTACAGATCGGTGGTCTAACTGGGGGCGATACTGACACATCGGGGGAAGCGATAGGAGAGGCCGCCGCCAAGTTCAAGTGTTTTATGCAATGTTAAAAACAACTTGTCATCCTGTGATTTTTCTTCTCTCCCCTGCCAGGCGTTGATGAGCACGGAACGATACTTGTTTACAAGGATGACGAGGTTATCGAGTACCTGGGACACAGAGCGCCGGAAATCCTCATCAGCTTCGTGGTTGATGTAAGTTTGTTGGCATTATAATTATTTCTCTGAGTAGGTTTATGTTTCAAAGATTGGCAGATGGATTCGTAAAGTGAGGTGTTGTACCACTAGTGACGTGGAGGATAATGACGTTCTCTGGTTTGTCTTTATTTTTGCAGCTCTTCGAAGATGCTCATGTCGACATCATCAAGGGCAAGGCTGGGAAGGAAGACTTCGACGATGATGATGACGAAATCAGAGTTGTCGGCTGGTTCGAGGACAAAAGCAGCAAACGTGAGTCCGCCATCGTTTGCAAGAGATAGCTGTCTGTGTTTCAACACGTTCTTGGGCGGACTTAGACCGTACTTCGAGTTATGACCCTTTTTTCATCGATGATAGTTACTAGTTAGGCTTATTCCTCATGCGAATTTTTATACCACGGTACGGTGGAATAATTTCACTGTTGTTTGCCTTGCAGACTTCAAGGAATTTGAAGACGCCGCTAACCACTTCCCGACTGTCGAGTTCTTCGCGACCTTCGACCCTAAGGTAGGATAAAACGTCACTGATGATATTCTAATATGATTGTGCTTTCTACCAACGGAAGACACGGTACAATAGCATGGCAATGCTACAGGGTACATGTTGGCGCGTGTCCTAAATGGTTGATTTGTATTTGTATAAATATCATAAATACAAACATAAATTTACCTGGTAACCTATAGGTTTAACCCCTCAGCATGTCCGCCAATACTTACACGTCATAGGCACGTGAGTACGAACACTCTATTCCGGGAGCCCTGTAACCCGATACAGCATTCTTTAGGACTGGTGCCGACTAAACACCATATATGGTGGGGCCCTCAGAGTCATATACACGTATGGACTTTCCCACGGCTATAATCAAATTATATAGGTGCAATATCTAACTAAAATACTGTGTACAAGAAATATTGATACTAGGTTATTTCAAACCGACCATTGGGCAGACCTTCAGCATTCGTCAGACGTACCGTGACATGGACGCTATCTCCACAGATTTATTCTAACCTTGTGCTGTAGAATGCCAGGCGTTCCATCATCTAGCCTTGTAAGCATGGGGCACGGGCGGCAGCAATCCATCCTGCCGCCCGGGGTCACGCCCGGTCACGGTCTCCGGGAGGCCCGGGGTGGGGCACCGTGGCGGGACCTGGCGTCTTCACCTACCGTACAGAGAACACGGACACACAGCAGATAATTGCAGTTGATTTTTTGTTTTAGGTCAGATAACTCCAAGAAAAGGTTATTAGATCGGAGACATCCACTCCCTCCGCTCCCTGTCCCAACTCTACTGAACTCAAATACCCACGGACACACAAGCCAACACACATACACGCACACACACACACACACACACACACACACACACACACACACACACACACACACACACACACACACACACACACACACACACACACACACACACACACACACACACACTCCTAAAAAGTACCTCCAGGAGGCAAAAATCAGAATTTAAACGACAGCTGCACTGGCCGTATTAGCCGTGCCAAGCATGTCTGCTGCGAATCCAGTGTGGTTATATGATGGCTCGCAGCCTGACGGTGCTGTGGCCCGCCTTGGACACATACAGCAACCTAGTGGATGTCATCTTACATGTTACATGAGGCTATCATATTACACGTTAAGCCGGGAGGGTATAATATTACACGTTAACTCAGGAGGGTATCATATTATGATACCCTCCTGAGTTAACGTGTATCACATGAGGCATTCAGACTGATAATCTGGGAACCTCAATAGTGAGCTTAACACTAAACCCTCCTATGAATAGGAGTTCAGAAGGCCGGTGGAAACTTGAACATTTGTGAGTCCTGGTGAGAAGGTTCGCCCCGCGGTGGTATGTACAATTATCCAGCGCCTGTTTCCGCCTCGTTACCTCTGCGGAGTTCGCGCCGGGAAGGCGGCGATGTTCGTGGGTTTGAATATGCAGTAAAACGATTTCAGCGCCCAGCCGGCATGGTATGTCTTCTATTCTGTTGACATTGCTCACCGGCACGGTTTCAACTTGACCTTGAAGAATTGTGGAGAAGGACAATGGTGGAGGGAAGGCGCGTAGACGCGACTCGTGGATTGGACATCGAGCAACTAATTACTTAACAGCGTAACATTATTGTAGACTCGGTTATACGTCCCTAAATCCACATCCAAAAGTCAGATTTTATCTTCTATGTACTCTGTACCGAAGGCGAACACATTACTCCCTACACACATATGTACATAGGCGAGTTTACCAGATGTCTGCAGCAGCCAGGAACACTGTTATCTGTTGCCGCAGGGTTACACTGTGGTAGCAGTGCTGTCCCAAACTTTTGGTCTGTGTTCCTGTACTGACTCTGCGCTGATTTGCCTTGCAGCTTGCCAAGCAGCTGAAGCTGAAGGACCTGAACGACATCCTGATCTACAGGCCGTTCGAGAAGGAGCCGGTGGAGATCGAGGACGACGACCCGCACGGGCTGGAGGAGCACGAGATCGAGGAGTTCATCGAGGCCAACATGGAGTATGTCTGCTCGTTTGTATCACATGGTAGATAGACGAACTTCTTTGTTGCACAAAGCCGGCACTATTTTGTGTCATGACACACCACAGTCTACACCATCTCTTAAACGTAAGTGGTGTGGTCTTTTATTTGCTCGAGGCGTGACTCTCCAAAAATCAAACAAGTCAGACCAGAAACTTAAAAAAAAAAACAGTATTGGTTTTCATTTTGGCCCATCCAGTGTTGTGTACATCTATTATATTTATGGCAAGTTTCGATATAACACGAAATCCAAAAGCCGTTTGGCACGGTTTGCCCGCTTTCATATAATCCTCTTACACAGGTCTTAAAAGTGTGAGCTTACACATCAGTGATACTGTGCCATTTAGTATGCTTCGACGCCCCTGCAAGTTGCTTTTACGTAAATGCGTCTGTATCCTAATGCTTCTTCTTATACCGAAATAAACGGAAACCGTATAATCTACCAGTGCGGCACGATGGAAACTTCCTCTCTAACTCCATGTCTCACATTTTACAGGCCAATTATTGAGAAATTCACGCTGGAAGATCTCCATCGCGTCTGGGTAGGTACATACTCTTGCTTTTAGCGCGTCTGCGAACCTACTCATTACCCACTATGCAGTCGGGAACCATTCTAATTATGGTCAATCATCGCAATAAGCTAAACGTTCAGCCGGGTGTGTAAAAGCTTTCACGTTGCTGATTTGTATCTTAGCATGGGTGGAAATCGATAACGGACGTCCCATTAACCTTCTGAGATGGGACCTGAGACGTCCATGTTGGATTTTACGGCTGAAACAAGGCCATGAGGAGGGTGTAAGCCTGAGGCGCTGTGCAGACAGGTTGATGCTATCAGGTGCTGCCATCAATCTTCATCCCGTACGTTCACTCGTTGAGTGGCTTACGCGCTAATAACGTTAACGTTCGAGGGGAAATAAGACTTCATGGCGCAAATCAAATATTTCAATTAGAACTGTTCTATTTCAGGACGAGGACGAGGATGACCACATGATCGTGTTCTTCGCTGAGGAGGACGACAAAGGTGCAAAATTTATACACTTATTTAAATCTGGTAGAGATTAAGATGCTTTCTGAATAAACATATGCTGCACATTTTTTATATTGTTACGTTCGTTTTGTACTGTACAGTATTGATGCCTAACGGTTCCTCACATTCCTTACCACAGAGGGTAAGCAGTTCCTGAAGCTGATCGCGCAGCTCGCACGCAAGAACGCCGATGAGAACTTGGACTTCATCTGGATTGACCCTGACGAGGTCCCAACGGTGAGTTTGCTTATTTACAAGAAAACATTCACGTGCCGTCTTGGCGTCTCAAGGGTACTAACTGTGAGTACTGTTCAAACTTGTATGGAGTGCGGAAGTTGCTGTAGTACTGACGCATACATTCTTTTCCAGCTGGAGGACTACTTTGAGGAGGTCTTTGACATCGACCTGGATGATCCTCAGATCGGCGTGGTGGACCTGGATGATGTAAGTACTGAGTATTTACAGTAAATCAGTCTCTGGCATTTGTAAAACGAAAACTTCCAGGTGAGGTAAACAGGCCAGTCGCAAGATTTCAGATGTCACTGCATAATGTATAAAGATGACTCATTCAACATTATTGCTTTCATATGAATTGAGTGCAGATGCCTACCGACAGCCCATGATGTCTAAATGCATGTGAGGTGTATGGGGAGTTGTGAACAAGTTCATTCCCATGTCTACCCTTCAGAACGACAGCGTGTTCCTGGACCTGCCTGACGACGGTCTGCCGACCCTGGACGAGCTGCAGGCCTGGGTGGACGACATCCTGGACGGGGACATCGACTATGACGACGATGACGACGATG